CGGGTCTCCCCGCGCAGGGCCGTTTCTGCCCTCTGGGCGCGTCCATCCGCCTCAGCCCAGCCTCCTGCCCGCCCGTCCGCCCGCCGCGGGCTCTCGATCCGATCACCCCGTCGGCAGACAGGACCGACCTGCAGCCCTGCCCGGTCTCCAACGGGCAGTGCCCGGGGCCTCTGACGGCAAGGATGAGCCTCCCCGGGGACTCACAGGGCAGCGGGCACGACCTCTGCCCCGGTCGCCTTCCATCCGGTCCCGTGGAGACTGGGGTGGGCAGTTGTAAATAAATGCCTTGTGCCTTTTGCCGTCAACTCTTTTTTGCACCCGCTATCTGCTTGTCTTGACTGCAGAAGAGAGAAGTTCCCTGAAGTTTGGGCAGGGGCTTGTTTGGAGTCTGGTGCTGTTTTGTTCTGTTGGAGAACTTGGGTCACATCGATCACTGAGCAACCAGGCAGGCTGGCCCTCGGGGGACCAGATGCCACACATCTTGCTAGGGTTTCCGGCTGTGTCAGGGCCGGGTAGTTTCAGGAACAGAAACCAGAGAGTGTGGCTCTCCTCCCAGCCAAGTGCTGCACTCAGGGCTTCTGGGAGCTGCCCGCCTGTTTGGGAGGGGGCTGAGATCAGGGTGTCGGCTCTCCAACTCTCTGGAGTGGCTGAATAATACAGCCTTGAGTGAAATTAGCAGGGTGGGGAGAGGGGGCAGGAGGGCTTGGCTGCCAGCCGAGTTGCTGAGGAGGTGGGGCTGAGATTCACCCAGGCTCGGTGTAGGAACGTTTTGCAAACAAAGGCAGATGACCTGGAAGGTTCCCGATACAAAGAGGGAGTTGCAGCCGCTGGGTGTGTGTGCTGCTCATCTCACCCAGGGAGGTGGCAGGAACCGTGTCAGGAGCCAGCAAGCCTACACACACACACACACACACACACACACACACACACACGCAGGAAGCACAGCGACCTACCTGCCCACACTGGGAGAGCACGGCTGATTTGTCCTGAAGGCGCCGTGCCTCACTTTTTCATGCTGTGTGTGGCGTTTTGGCGTCAGCACACAGCAGTGGGTGTTGCCAAGTGTGTTCAGCTCCTTCCAGCCCATCACTGGGAGAGCTGTAGCGTTTGTCCCAGGCCCGACTTTAGAAAAAGCCCTTCCCGGGCTTCGGGTTGTATCGACACTCACCCAGCCCTGGGCTGTGGTGTTTCGGGCCTCTGGTCAGCACGAATCTGTTTTCTATTTTTCCAAATAAGTCTTTTCTTAAAAGGTGGTTTTCAGAGCACAGAAAGACACAAACCGTTGTGCGAGCGCATTCCTCTATAAACCCCACTTCCCCGCACCCTTCTTGGCAGAATGTGCCCCCTTGTCTCCCGTTTCTGAGGCTGGTCCTGCAAGAGCCTCTTCTTCAGCTTCTGCCTTAAAAAGACTTTCTCCCTGGCTCTGCCTGCTGGTGTAGACAAACCTCCTGGCCGTTCCATCTCTGCCTCTTACTTTCCATAAGTTTCTTTTCCGGTGTTTTGAAGGCATGTGTGCAAATGAACGTGAAAGATTTGAAGACTCACATCTCTCCTTCTAAAAAGTTTGTCGGTGGTCTGGTTATCCACCCCTTGCCCCCAGCCCCAGCTCCCTAACTGTAGCAGTCTCCTTCCACAAAAAAGGTTTTCTGGAGGTGACAGCAGCCCTGCCAGGGGCCGGGACTCATGCTCCACACGAGACAGAAGGGGACAGGTCGTAGGGAGGGCTTTTGAGCAGGAACCCAGAGGCAGGAGGTGCCTCGGTGGAGAGTGTGGAAGCGCTCCCGTGAAGTCCCCAGGGGCCCCAGACAGAGCCAGTGATCTGTCATACTCAGAGGACGGCCTGGGCGGTAAGCCACATCCGGAACCAGAAGCTGCCCGGCTGTTTCTTTTTTTGTTTTTATAAAGGAATTCAGCCTTGTATGGCTTCCTCTTTTTTTTAAAAAAAAATTTATTTATTTTATTCATTTTTGGCTGCGTTGGGTCTCTGTTGCTGCGCGCGGGCTTTCTCTAGTTGTAGTGAGCAGGGGCTACTCCTCGTCACGGTGCGCGGGCTTCTCATTGAGGTGGCTTCTCTTGTTGCGGAGCACGGGCTCTAGGCATGTGGGCTTCAGTAGTTGTGGCATGTGGGCTCAGTAGTTGTGGCTCGCGGGCTCGAGAAGTGCAGGCTCAGTAGTTGTGGCACGCGGGCTCAGTAGTTGTGGCACACAGGCGTAGTTGCTCTGCAGCATCTTCCCGGACCAGGGCTCGAACCCACATCCCCGGCATTGGCAGGTGATTCTTAACCACGGTGCCACCAGGGAAGCCCTGTCCAGCTGTTTCTGACCCTCTGATGAGGTCTCCCTGAGGGCCAGTGTTTGGTTCTGCTGGGGCTGCCTCCAGCCTCTGTACCTCTGTCCTGAATGGGCAGCTTATTTCACGGAGCACGTCTTCGGGGTCCTCTGAGCGCCAGCATCCAGCTGTGCCACGCTCCCTTCGGGCTGAGGGGTATCCCATCGTAAGGATCGGCCACCTTCTCTGTGTCCCTCACCCATCAGTGGACACTGGGCTGTCTCCACAGCTCTTGTGACCGGTGCTGCCGTGAGCGCTCCTGTGCGGATTTTCCCCCGGCCTCCCCGTGGTGACCATGGAGCCGGCACTTTCTTCCAGTGACAGGGTGGCACGAGAGGCCTGCCCCGGCTGTTAGGCCAGTTGGCTCCTAAGACCAGTGAGAGGGACGGCCCTGGAGGACTTGCTGGAGCGCTATGGGGCGGGCGCCGCTGGTAGTGCCTGGTGGGCCCTCGACAGGTGCTGCGCAGGAACAGGGTGTCAGGAACCCTGCACTTTCTGATGGGCCTCAGGCCCAGCCTGGCCTTTCTTGTGTGCAAACAGTGACACCCATGGTGATGACCCAGTGGTGGCTGTACGGAAGCCAGCGTGTAGGAGGAGGGCCTTGGGATCACCTGCGGCTGCCTCTTCCTAAAACGAGGTGAAAGTCTGAGGCAAAAGAACAGGGACCCCTGAGCTCAAGTGAGCCACCTATGTGCTCAGGGAACGTCTTCACGTCCTGCAGGCCCAGACTGCTAGACGCACGCAGAGCGGTGCACACCCCGACACCTCGTGGGTTTCTTGCAGGCCGCCAAGCTGCCGCCTTTCTCGTGGGGCCGAGCGCTTGCTCTTCTGGGCCGTGGAGCCTCCACTCCACGGCTCCCGTCTGCTAAGCGGCCCCCTTGGCGCTTCCTGCAAAGGTGGACCGAGCTGGCCCTGCAGTCAGGCTCCTGGCCTTTCACGCCCCCACTGAGAGTGTTCGACCCCCTGCCCACCGGGCAGTGCACATTCTTCTGTGGCACTGGGGGTGTTTGTAAACACCAGCTGCCGGGGCCGAGCACACACGGGGTGCCAGGACTCATACCTCACGACGTGGCGTCTCCACAGACATGGCCGAGAGCTCAAGGCCGAGAGGGGCACAGCCTTTCTGCCACTACGCCTCTGCTCAGGCTGAGCCAGAGCCCTTCTTGCCTGGGGAGAGGGCACTGTCCCAAGGCTGGTGACACTCCCTGGCCAGCTTTGGCCCTGCTCCATCCAGTGAGTCCTGGGCCCTGGGGCCCTGCGGTTTCCTCTCACCACTGTTAGTGATTTTACTCCCCAGAGTTTCGTGGGTAGAGGGTCTCCAGGGTCCCCCATGATGTCCTGGAGTCCCCTGAGGTGGCATCATCACCGCTTGGCAGTGAGACGGACAGGTTGAGCCCTGGGCCTCCTGCAGCCAGAGCTCTTGCTGGGACCAGGGCTGCGGGGCCAGCATGGGACCTGGGGGGGCGGGGGTCACAGCTGCAGCTCAGCCCTCATCGCAGGATCGGCAGGAGTGTCCCAGAAGCCCACAGCTGGGCAGTGACCTGGGTCATCTTCTGGACAGACGGTGCCCATTCAACCCATAGGACCCTGGCCCAGAAGCTACTGCTGATGGAGGGGAGCACAGCCCTCAGGCCCATGTCTGCCCTGCAGGTTCTGTGGGGAGTGCCTCCAGCCGTGTCTGCAGGTGCCATCCCCCCTGTGCCCACTGTGCCGCCTGCCCTTCGACCCCAAGAAAGTGGACAAGGCCGCCCACGTAGAGAAGCAGCTTTCGTCCTACAAGGCACCCTGCCGGGGCTGCAGCAAGAAGGTACCGCAGCCTCCTGGCCCGGGCGCTCCGATGGGCTCGCGGGGGAGCTGGGCACGGGCCACCTCCCTTCCCTGTTGGGCAGCCCACCACTCCACTCGCTTCCTGCGGGCCCTGCACGTGGCCTGGGCTCTGGGCTGTGGCTGGCGCAGGGACACAGGCTGAGCTGAGCCCACCCTGATGCAGCCTCGACACCCCAGTGGCCCTCGCACTGCAGGCGGCGACTGCAATGGGGCCCAGCCCGCCCACCCTGTCCCAGCACCCGCTGCCCGCTCAGGCGGGCACACCACTTTGTGGGGGACCCAGCCCGGGAACGGAGTTTGAACTTAGGTTTTCAGATTTTGCCATTGCTCGGGGTAACGAGTTCTTCTGAGTTATCACAGTAGGCAGCAGCCCTGTTGTTTTGTCCTCAAGGTCGAAGGTCAGACTGTCCAGGGGCCACCGTGAGCTCACTGTGAGGGGCTGCCGCGGCCTCCTGCAGGCGCACGTGCCCCTTCCTCCCGGCATGAGAGCGGAGCAGGCTGTTGGCTCTTGTGCGAGGCGGCCCCCACCCTTGGCCTCGTGCGGGCCCAGGGGGCAGGCTTGCTCAGTGTCCCAGCCCTGGGCAGAGCCGGGGGCCGGGCAGGCGTCAGGAGGGCCCCTCGTGGCGGAGCTGCCCCGCCTGCTCCCTTTCGGCCTCCACGGTTCTGGGAACTGGGTTCCTGTGTGCGCCACTGCCACCGGGAGGGCTGCCAGGCGTCCTCCCCCGGGTCGTCCTGCCTGCTATCTGCGCTGGCACCCCTCCCCTGCCCTGTGCTGAGCCGCTTCCCGCCTTCGGCCAGGACGGCCACTTGGGCAGCCGAGAAGGTTGTATCCTGTTCCATTTCCTACCTCTTTGTAAAGAGTTCGCTGGACGTTCGACTGTCCAGAATTTTGCCTGCTGGCTCCCGTTACAAGGGATATTTTTTCCCGAAGAGACACCCTCCCTGTCCCCTTGTGGGCCACCCCTCGCCTGCAGCTCCCCAGGGACCGAAGGCCTACTGCCCCCGCATGGCCCCATCGTGGAGCCGTGAGCGCCTGCTTCTGGGTGCGGGTCTGCAGCCTCGGGGTCCTGAGTCTGTGTCTCCCTCCCTCGGCCTCTGGGCCCCACTTCCGCAGCGCTGCCGGGCCGGGGCACCGGGAACCAGAGGCCCAGCCCCGCTGCCCGGCCCCTCCCCTCCTCTCCGCCCCAGGTGACACTGGCCAAGATGAGGGCGCACGTTGCCTCCTGCGTGAAGGTCCAGGAGCAGATGGCCAACTGTCCCAAGTTCGTCCCTGTGGTGCCCACGTCCCAGCCCATCCCCAGGTGGGCCGCTTTGCCAGGGCCCCCTCCGTGGGGCAGCTCTGGGCCTACCTCGCGGGGTGGGCAGTGGGGCCCCACGCTGAGGAGGTGGGAGGGCTGCCGGGGGAGGGCCTCGCCCCCTGCGGGTAGGGGACCCCAGGAGGGCCCAAGCCAGGCCCCCACGGCTCACCTCCCAGCAGGGACGCACGGTCCCCAGACAGGCTGGGGCTGGACAGACGCCTCCTCTCAGGGTGGGCAGCCGCGTCGGAAGCAGGGGCCCCGGGGTTAGGCGGCGGGAGGTCGCGGTGGGATGTGCAGATGGGGGCAGGGCCCCGCGGCAGCTACGGCCCACAGGGCGGGGGAGGGCGAGCCGGCTGGGCTGTAGGAAGGTGGGCAGTGCCACTCAACCCCACCCTCGCCCCAGCGCCGTCCCCAACAGGTCCACCTTCGCCTGCCCTTACTGTGGTGCCCGCAACCTGGACCAGCAGGAGTTGGTAAAGCACTGCGTGGACAGCCACCGCAGCGACCCCAGCCGCGTGGTGAGCCCGCACGCCCGCACGCACGCCCGCCCGCACGCCCGCCCGCACGCCCGCCCGGCCCCGCTCGCCCGGCCCTCCCGGGCCCTGGAGGCTCACCGGCCTGCTCTGTCCCAGGTGTGTCCCATCTGCTCGGCCATGCCCTGGGGCGACCCGAGCTACAAGAGCGCCAACTTCCTGCAGCACCTGCTCCACCGGCACAAGTTCTCCTACGACACCTTCGTGGTGGGTGCCCTCCCCCTCCCCCCTCCCCCTCCCACGGTGCCGGGTAGGTCCACGTGGCCACTAGAGGCCCGGGGGCTCTGGGGCTGTGCAGACCGGGCCCACAGCGGCCCCCTGTCCTGCGGGTCCCTCACCGCCGGGCCAGCGAGCTCTCCTCACGCGGGGCCTCCTCTCGGGGAGGCGCCGTCGCAGGGCCACCATCTCCCCAGCTCTGCACCGGGGCCTCGGCACACAGACCCCTCCACGGGGGACAGGCCCTTCCCGCGGGGACTTCTGTCGCCGGGAAAACCTCCGGCTCTTCCTCTCCCTCTCCCACCTGCGGTCCCCACCTGCAGACCCTCCTGCAGGCCCTTCCCTCCCCTGCGCCCCCAGCCCTGCTATTCTCGTCCCCCGCCAGCCTCCAGGCACCAGACCCTGTGAAGTCGACCCCTCTGCTCCCTCCGCCTGCGCCTGGTCCCGATGGGTGGATGCCACGGGGATCCCTTGCTTCTCTGCTCATCTCAAGCCCCGTTCTTGAGTCTGAGGGGAAAGGACAGCTCCGATTCCGGGCGTCCAGCCCACGCAGTCCGCCCAGCCCTCAGTCACTGGGCGCGGTGGCCTCCGGGCAGCCAGACCATCCCCGCAGCACAGTCGCCACACAGCGACCGGGACCCCATGACCGTGCGGGGCCGAAGGGGGGCGGGGAGGCTGGACGCGGCAGAGCCGGTCCGTTTGAGGTGACGGGACCAGGGCGGGGGGGTCGCCCTGGGAGGCCCTGGCGTCCCCGGCCCAGCTGCACTCTCTGTCTTCCAGGACTACAGCATCGACGAGGAGGCCGCCTTCCAGGCCGCCCTGGCCCTGTCTCTCTCCGAGAACTGAAGGCGCGGCCACTGGCCCAGGCCTCCCGCCTCAAGGGACACGCCCCGCCAGCTCCTGCGGCCCAGGCCTGCCTGGGAAGGCGCCTGGAGGGCCAGGTGGAGCCTCACTGCTGCAGGAGGAGAGGCCGCGACCCCATCGGGCTGCGCAGGTGGCCTTGGGGGGCCGGCCACTGGGATGGAATGTGGCCACTGTGTCTCAAAGCCATGATTTCCTCCCTGCAGAGAGGACCCTTCAGGCCCTGCCGCGTGCACAGGCCCCAGCACTGAGCAGGGAAGCACGGAGGGGGCTCCGGCCCAGCACCTGGCAACGCTTCCCCCTCGCGTGCTCGGTACTGGCTTTTGCGATACCTAGAGGTTCCACACTTTTCTATATTATCCGGCGTGATGACCTTTTCACGTTTTCTAGAGCAAAGACAGAGCAGTTACCCTTCATATTGCAATATCTGTGTTTGACTAGGAATAATAGTATTTTTATGGAACATTTAAAAAATTATATTTTTTAAAAAAAAAAAAAAAAACGAACGGTTGTGGGATTGGTAGGGGGAGGAGAGACGGCGCAGTCGCTGTGTGCGGGGACCGAGGTGGCCACGTCCCCAGGTCACCTCGCCGTTCCCCAGGGTCACTGGGATAATCACGGGAAGAAATCGCAACGCCCGGCCACTTGCAGTGGCGCTGTGTCTGCTCCTGGCCTCCTGCCTGGGTCTTGGCCTCGGCCCTGCTGTCCCTGGTCCAAAGCCGACCACCTCGTGCCCCCGGCAGGGCCGCCCCGGCAGTGGCAGAGCGCGGGGCCAGCGCAGTGACCAGGCAGTTCACGAGACGCTCATCGGCACCCTCATTTGGCTCGTGGCATAAATTATTGCTGTCTTTAAAAAAAAATTTAAGTAAAACGTCTCAAAGCATCTCCAGCGACCTGGCTGGTGCGTCTCCTTCAGTGAATACTAAAGGCAGAGGGCCGGAGCGCGGCCACCGGACCGTCCTCCGCTCGAGGTCCGCGGGCACGGGTCCGTCCCCAGGCAGCTCCGGCTCAGAGAGCAGCTGGCCTCGGGGCCCCGCGGAGGCCGTTTCCGCGTCTGGGATGAGCTGGGCTGCGGCCCCTGCTGGTCCTGCCCGCCCCCCGGACCCTGTTCCCCTCGACCTGTGCCCTCACTTGCCGGCCTGGCCACCTCTCCCTGCGACAAGCCCAGGCCAAGGTTTGCTGGGCAGCGGCGCTCACCTCCTCGTCCTGGGACGGTGTCCACCTGAGGCCGGCAGGCTGGGCACCGTCCTGAGCTTCTCCGGCCGGGGTGGTCTGAATGGGGCTGGTGTTGGGGCCCAGAGGTGGCCGTGGTGGCCTACAGGTGGCCCTTGGGATGCCACCGGAGTGAAGCCCCACTAGCCCCACCCCGGTCCCCGTGCTGCAGCCGCTCTCCCCACTGCTGGCTCGAGGCGTGCCTCTGCCTCCCCGGGCAGCCTGCCTGGTGCCCCAGCGTGTGCCCTCAGCCCCCGGGCCGGCACCTGGCCCTCTGAAACATCCACCCAGGGATGGTGGTCTCGAGCCACCATCAGTGCCACGGGCCCCTGCTATTCCCAGTCGCCACAGGCCTTTAAAAGCTGACAAGAATCACCTGCTGGGCTGTGCCCAGGTGGCTGGTCATCAGAGTAAGGCCAGGTGCCTGTCTCGTCTGCCCCCCCACGCAGTGTTGCAGACCCTTCCTCTATGGAGAAGGTGGGTCTCCTGAGCTCGACCGTGGCAGGGCCGGGCAAACCAGAGTCTCCACGAGAGAAGAGCTGTGACCTGGGGTGCGTTACCTCCTTTAGAACCCTTCGTAGGAGCCACTGGCCTCCCCTCCCCTCTGACCACTCTTTGACCCCACCGGCGGAGGATGCCACCTGCCAGCCTGTCCTCTCTGCCGCCTTCCAGAAGGAGGCCCGTGACATGGTCCCTGGGGGGCCACCCGGGCCCAGCCTCAGCCTCCCTCAGGGCTAATGGGAAAGGAAGGATGTGGCTGAAGTCCCCCTCCTGCAGGACGATGGGGGAGCTGGGACCTCAGCCACCAGGGAGGTGCACCTCCTCCCCTGCCCTGCCCTGCCGACCAGCCTGCCAGGCACACGGCCCCCGAGTGCAAACTCAAGGCCACACCCCCAGGCCTCACCGAGCAGGGAGAGGATGAGGGCCCGTCAGCACCCAGGGGAGCTTCAGGGTGGCCTTGGCCAGTGCCCTGGGGCCTGGAGCCAGTGGTGGCAGCGCTGGGACAGCCAGGCTCCAGATGCCAGGTGCAGCCGCTGCCCCGTCTCCTTTGCCCCACCCGCAGCTCGGCACCTCACTGCCCCATGACCCTCCCCCGTACCCGGCTGCCCTCCCCTCGTCCCGGACATGTTGTTTCTTCCCCCAGCGCTGCCAGCACATCCCATCTGGGACGTGCAGCGGCTGTGATTCTGGGCTGTCACTCGGGCCCATATCCAATCCCCAGCTAACCCTCCAGCCCTCAGCTCGCAGCCGGCACCAGCTGTCCGTCCACCACCTGGACACCAGCCAAGCCTGTCCGCTGCCCGCCCACCGCCTGGGGGAGGACGGTGCTACTCTCACACGCCCGTCACGACCCTCGGCGCCCACGGAGCCCTGGGGGCAGCTTGAGGGCTGTCTCGGCAGGTCCTGACCTCACCGGTGCCCTCGAGGAGGTGACGCCTGGCGACTGTCCCCACGTCTCACCCCGTGGAGGCCTCAGCACCCACCACGTCACCACATCACCGAGGGCTCCTGGCCACAGTGGGGCCCCCGGAGGGGCGGAGCCAGGAGCGTCTTAAAGTTGCTGGACACCAGCACAGGCTGGTGGCTAGTCCCTTCCCCCGCCCGAGGACGCCTGCCAAGCTCAGCCCCCTCCAGGCACCCCCAGAGGCCACGGAGGCCAAGAGCCACAGGGCAGCATCCACACGTGGCCTTGATCTCGTCCCTTCCACCCTGGGCCCAGGACGCACGGGGCACGTGGGCACGTGGCCGCTCAGTGACCCGGCGTCCAGGACGGATGCCAGGGCAGAGCAGTGGAGCGAGGCCCAGCGCAGTATGCGGCTGCGTGGGAGCTGGGTCGCGGCCGACACCGCAGTGTCCGGCGAGGACACCTCAGGCTGAAGCCCGCGGGACGCCGCTCTGAGTCTGGATGAAAAGTGAGGTGGAGGTGGGAGGCCCGGACCCCGACCGACTCCAGGGCGTCCCTGACGGGAGGCCGCACACCCTTCCCTCCCCAGTCACACAACGGCCTGGGGGGTCCGCACACACCCTGCCGCCTGGACGGCGCCGCCGGGTCCCTGGGAACCTGTGACCTTGGCCATCAGGAGGGGGACAGGCAGCCAGCACTCCTGAAGGCTGGGTGCCCAGAGCACGAGCGCCTGCCCCAGGGCCCCGAGGACTGGCCACAGGTCACCTCTGGGTCTTGCGGGAGACGCCCCTCTGAGCTCTGGGCGCTGAGTAAAGAAGGGTGGACGGAGAGGGCAGGCGTGGTCATGCAGCCCCCAGCGGAGGGGCCTCCCGAAAGGCCCGGTCCCTCACGGGGGTTGCAAAGCAGCCACACCTTCAGGAAATACAAGCGTGCCCGGGGCCTGGCAGCAAACTGCGAACACGCGCGTCTACCCCGTTTACCTCGTCCAGGGAGGCATGGGGAGCCCACCTGCCGCAGAGGGCCAAGCCCATCCCTCACCCCTCGGGTGGGGCCTCGGGGTCCCTCTGACGTGGGGCCACCTCCTACCAGCTTGCTGCCCCCGTTCCACAGGGGGAGAAAGAGGTTCTGAGCCCTTCGGACCAGTGGAGGGCCCCAGGGCCGCAACTTGACAAACCCCCAAGCAACCACGGGGCCTGAGACCTGCGGCCCAGCAGGGAGGGCGCACCCTCGGGACACAGCGGGCGGTCGGGCGGCGGTCCCCCGGTGCTGACGCCCAGGCCAGGCCACGGCGCCTCCTTCTGGACTCTCACACACCGGGGCTCCCCACATCTACCTGCGAAACACGCTCCCAGGAAGGATCCTTGAACTCACTCACCACAAGGCAGCAGGGACCGACGGGCCCAAAGGCGCCACCACACAAGTGGGCCTGAGGCCACGTCCCCAGCGGTGCACAATCAACCCCTGCCAGCAAAGCTTCCGCGCCCAGCGTTCGTGGTCTGTGTCTGTGCTGCTCCCACCCCGCCGCCAGGGGCCGGGACCTGACCTGGAAGTGCCGGCGGGAGCTCCGGGGACATCAGGCCCCTTCCGGTCCCGGAGAAGGGAGCTGCACGGCCCGTGACCCTCCGGTCTCTCCAACAAGTTTCTGGGAATGAGGGCCCAGGGCCACACGCACACGGGGAAGAGGCTCCGAGAGGATGCTGTGGAGCTCGGAGCTGGGCCCCGGGCTCCCCTCTAGGCCCCGGGCTCGCCCACTGAAGCCCGACCGCTGTGCCGCACGGAACAGCTCCTGCGACCTCACACGCACACACAGACGCGTGTGCACACCCGTGTGCGTGTGCACACCAGGGCACAGACCTGCACACACGCACGCACGTACATCCTGCACACACATGCACACACATACATCCCTCCTCAGCCCCCAGATCACCTTCCCGGGCTCAGCGTCTGGGACTCTACTGTGTGTCACAGCTGTGTGGGAAGGGTCAACGTCCCCTCCCTGAACCCCCATTTAAGAACCAAAATCACCTCTAACAACCAGGACCCAAGAGGGAACAGGCAGTTGTGAGTCCCCCTTCTGGAGATGACCAAATGCACACTGGCCACCAATGTGACCACGTGCTGGGAGCTGGGGTACTGGGCCCACGACCGTGGACAGCAACGGGGCTGCTCCAATGCAGGATGTCCAGCCACACCCACCCTCCCACAACAAACACGCCGCACACACAGTGACACCGGGGGCACTGTCACCGCGGCGGGGGCCCCTGAGTCCTGGGACGGCCGAGTGCCAGCTTTAAGGCCCAGCTCTGAGCGCTATTCCGAGTCCCAGAGCCTGGCCCACCATGGGGCCTTTGTACCTTCACCCACGTGTCTATACTCGAGAGACCCCCAGCGGGGAGCGTGCCCGGGCCGCACTGTACGGGGGCTCCTGACGCTTTTCCATCTGGTCCAGCAGGCACTGCTGAGCCTCCATCACGGACCCAACCTCGTGCAGGTGCTGTGAGGGAAGGAAGGCAGTTCCCACCTGGCAGGCCCTCGGGCTGCATCTAACAGGGAGGGGGCGTCCTCACTGGGCCATGAAACCCAATTAGTAAAAAAAAAACATGTATACACTGATGTGTATAAAACTGATGACTATAAGAACCTGCAGTATAGAAACAAACAAACAAAACTACCAGACCCAAAAGGACACAGGTACACACGTACACACTATGCAGACAGCCGAGCACCATCGCCATATAAAGCACAGAAAAAGAGCACAAAAACACACCCATAAAAAGCAAGAGGGGCTTCCCTGGTGGCGCAGAGGTTAAGAATCCGCCTGCCAATGCAGGGGACATGGATTCGAGCCCTGGTCCGGGAAGATCCCACATGCCACGGAGCAACTAAGCCCGTGCGCCACAACTACTGCCTGTGCTC